AGCAAATCAAGAGAAATTAAAAGATTAAAGCATCCCTAGAAAAACAGTTGCAGTTGTGTACAAAAGAAGGCACTACGGCCTACCAGAAGTAAATTGTTTCGAAGTAACAAAGAAAGGCACATCGGCCATGAAAGGAAGCTTACATTGTCCAGAAAACAAAACAAAGTACAAGGGTGCAAAAGAAAAGATATGAAAGTTAAGACTTTTCAGCATCAGCAACTGCCTGGATCTGAACCTCAGAAGTCTCCTGAAGAGATACCTCGGATTCCTTATCTGCAGCAATCTCGGCGTCGATCTCGGCAAGGGTTTCATCAACGCTCTTGCCAATTTGAGGAATGTCGGATGAACCCTGCTCCGGGGTAGCCTCCTTGGTAACTTCATCGCCATCATTATCTTGAGTCAGGTCCAGGACCTGCTCATTCAGAGAAGGAGACTTAGCCCCAACAGCCTCCTTGGATTTTCTTATTAAACCCTCCTCCTCACCCCCCTCCACATCTTCAAACTCAAAATCGGATTCTTCTTTAGGATGACTTGGAGGAGGAGGGGAAGGGAATGGCAGAGGGATATCATCAGCCTTGCGCAATGGCGAGTCATCCGGGATGTTGAGCTTTTTGGCAAGGGCCATCCAACCAAGGGAGAAGCCCCTGTTGTATGCCTGCCTAACTTGCAGTTTGTACTCCTCAGTGACGTCGACCATTCCTTGAGCATAAGCCTTCTCGTCGGCCTCCTTAATCTCAGCATCTTTGGTAACTAAGGCCTCCCGAAGCTCTTTTTTGGCTTGGGCCTTTTTGACCTCGGCCTCTCTCTTCTCGGCCTCAGCAACCTTCTTAATGGCCTCGGCAGATTCGACTTTTTCCTCGGCTAGACTTTAGGCTTTGGCGGCGGCCTCAGCATGGTCCTCCAGTTTTTTCATCTTTGATTCAAGAGTTTTGTTCTCCTTTTTCAGGGCAGAAACCTCCTTCTTCATGTCGGCCAATCTTTGCCGATTTTCAAAAGCATGCATGGAGAGAGAGTGGGCATGTTGGATGGCCTGAAAGAACACAAGGCACAAATTGTTACAAAATTTTACAAAGTAAGAGAGAAAACAAATTTCAGCATAAAGGCACTTACTTGGACAGAGCGTTGCAGCATAAAGGCGTAGTTCTCATACACACTCATCTTGGCATTCCACTCAAGATCGCCTGGGAGGAGTAGAGCAGTACTGAGTGCCACGCCGACGTTTATATCATTGGCGCTGTCGCTGGCAAGGACAGGCTTATCCTCTAGAGTGATCTCAGGTGTCCAGGGGACTTTTGGTATTCTGGAACTCGAGGTCGTCGCAGACGATGACCTCGGCTTCTTTGATTGGGTGGACTCTGATGGCTGGGCCTCAACAGACCTTTTTGTAGAAGCAGAAGCAGTTTTTTTACTCTCAGCCAATTGTGACATGGGCAGAGCATCCTCAGCCTCAACCTCAGTAGCTTTGGCCTTGGGCTGGGCCTTTTTGATTCTTTTTGACTTTGGTGGGGGCATGGATTGAGTCGGAACAGCATCAACGTCGGCAGGTAGGTCGGCTAAGAGATCTACAGCAACAGGCTTCGGGCGACCCATCTCAGCAGTTTTGACAAGTCGTCGCCGACGTTTTCTTTCTGGTATTGGGATTAAGTATGGGGTTGAAGTTGATGGTTGATTGGTTGGGTCAGATGTTGACTCTTGATCTGTTTGTGATGTAGAGGCGGTTTGAGTTGTGGCAATAGGAGGAGAAAGGCTTTTCTTCTTTCTTTTGGGGACGTCGGGCAGAGTCGATTTGTATGTAGGAATAGAGTTGAGAAGAAGAGGTGCTTTTCTTTTGTGAACTGGCAAGTCCAGGAGTTTTTTCAAGTCCTTACTGGGAACGTAAGATTAGCGAAAGTCTTTCGCTGGCTTGCGAACGTCTGCAAGAAGAAACAGACATTAGAAACAGATAAAATATTGAAGACTTGAACAGAAACAACTAAGTATTGACACTGGGCTCTTACCCTTGCCCTCTTTAACTGATCAGGGAAGAGGGTAGAGATGGGCGTCCTCGTCTGCGCCAAACTCCCAATTTTCTGAAGCAATAACATAATCATCTCCAGCCCCCTTGTTGGAGTCTGGAAGATCGGCTACGATTTTGAATTCAGTGGACCTCGGCTTGAGGTAATAGATGAAGCCTTTTTCCTTCAGGTTAAGGGGGCACATGGTATAACAGTACTGGATGTCGGCAAGGATGATCCTAGCGTTCTCCTATCTAGCTAAAACTATGATGCCATTGATCACTCGATAAGAGTTTATGGCAAGTTGCATAGGGTTCAACTTGTAAAAGTGAAGAATTTCGCGAAAGAGAATGTTAAGTGGGAGCCGGAGTCCGCACTCAATAAAAGCTACTCTGGGAAAGGGCATTTGAATCATTTGTGGGCATGATGGAGTCGTTATCTTCAGCCAGCTTCAGATGGACATCGGCAGGAATAGAGAATTCTTGCCTAAAGTACTCAAGTTTGGTCGAGGTATCTACCCTATGTCTCCACATACCCATAACGTCGGCCTAAAGTCAGAGGGCTAGGTTTCAGAAGGAAGGTGCTCTTAAGGGGTTATCGGGACCTCGGCGAAACCCTAGGTATATGCTGGTAAGGATTGTTTCAATTTTTTCCTAAAAATTGATAGGATCTATAGACAAATCCCAAACCTAAATCTATGAAGGCAAAGATTGAAAGCAAAAATTCAAGGCAGAGATCTGGAAAAAAACACAGGAAACAAGAAACCAGAACGCAGTTTCAGAATGAAGAACAGAAGTGGGTTCTCAAAAGCATAAAGAAAACAAGAACTACAGAGCCAAGAACAGTGGTAAAAATGCAGTAAAGTGGTGCGACGGTGCGTGTGTTCAAAGATATGGGCAAGGACCAAATCAAAGAATAAACATATTCAGATGAATGATTCACAAGATAGATATTTGAGCAAAGCAGTAATAACAGGAGATTCCAGAAATGGTCAAGAATTGAAATCAGAAGGAAGCTTATGTGCTTATCTGTGGATATTGTTGTTATACATATCTGTTGAAAATGTGGATATAGCTTATGTGCTTATCTGTGGATATTGTTGTTATACATATCTGTTGAAAATGTGGATATAGCTTATGTGCTTATCTGTGGATATTGTTGTTATACATATCTGTTGAAAATGTGGATATAGCTTATGTGCTTATCTGTGGATATTGTTGTTATACATATCTGTTGAGAATGTGGGTTGTGCTTATATGCCTATCCGTTGAAAAAGGGAAAATGAAAGGTAACTTAGACTCATAAGTTGTATGACATAAATATGTGATTTATGTGAATGTATCAGTGTTGGCCATCTATCAATTGCTAATCTTTTAGTCATTGTTCATGGTTGGTTTAGTGTATTTCTACTGGGCTGTGGCTCACCCTATATGGGAATATCATTTTCAGGTACAGGTAGCATGCCACCTCCAAGGTCATAGCTTGGGAGGCTAGAGGCGAGCAGACTGTTGTGGTTTTAGTTCCTTTTTGATGTATTACATGTATATTCAAGCCGAGGGCTTAATGTGTAGATGAGTTAGCACTCTTTTGTTGTAACCAAGTGTTAACTTGGAAAGTTTCAAGCCCGTAGGGCATTTTTGCTTTTGTTGTTAACATGTAATACTTTTGTAATGAAACTCTGGTGAATAGAAGAATGTGGTTATTTCATTTGTCAATGAATGTCTTATTTGATGGGTTTAATGTTATTATTCTGAGGGCGTTACAGAAGCTTTGGAAGCAATCGTGAGAGAGAGAGAGAGAGCAAACGTCCAGAAGTAAACAGTGGGTCGAAATTTTACAATCGTGTGGTGTCTCTACGGCATTGAATCATCGAATCATCGATGGTGGCAGTGAGTCAACTCTCTCACTCTCTCTCTCTCCCTAAATCTAATTATGTGCCCAAATTATTTTTAAAAATTCATTGCTCTTCTTTTTTGATTTGATTTGAGGACGTTGCTTGTTAATCTAGTATCTCCACATTTTTTTTAAAATTATGAATTTCATTGCTTTAATTTATTAAATTTAATTTCAGTACCCTATTTGTTTTAATCTAATTTTTGTGACATAATTTTGTTAATTTTTATTTCATTTAAAGAATGAGAAATATTTGTACATAATTCTAGAATCTATTCTTAATTAATAAGGGTTATAGATATTTGTATATAATTCCAGAATCTATTCTAGAATATTCTAAAATATTCAGGTAAGTTGTAGTCTATGAAATTCTACACCCTTAATTAATAAGGTTCTAGATTTGAGGGTAAGATTTCTCAAGGAATAAAAAAATAACATTTACTCAAACTCTCTGTGCCTACTTTTTAATAAATATTAGTAGTATAAGTACTTTTCATTTATTCTAATTTCTTTTTTTTCCACTAGTACTTTTCATTTATTCAAAAAAAATTTCCACACTAGGTGGTGTTTGGGAAGCAAGTTCCCAAATTTTTTTCTCATTTTTTCCACTAAAAGACAAAAGTTTTGCAAAACCAAAAAAAACACATCCAAACAAAATATCACATCCAACCCCATAATCATTTCACTTTTTCTCTCACAAACATCACATCCAACCACATAAAAACCCAACTATCTTCCCAAACACCAAAAATTTTTTATCTCATAAAAACCTACATCTACTAAAATTTACATAAAAACTCACTTCCCAAACACCATATATATGAAGGATCCTATTTTAATGGGTTACCTTGGACCTCAAAAAACTCAGGCCGCCCGATCAATTGTAATAAATTAATTCATGAAAAATTGAAGACGACCTTATAAGTCATTTTGTTTCAAATTGTTGGGTCATAGGGTAGACGATTCTCTTTTCTTAGGTTCTAATAAATTTTTAGTTTTATAATTTTTATATTTCTTAATTTTAAAATAATCTTGTAATTAAAAATGCAATTATCTTTTCAGAAATTAAAAATACATGAAGAAATAAGAAGTTGGGAGAGAAAAGAATACCTTGCCCAAGATAAGAGGTGTAGAGGATTCTCTATCAATTCTACTTCCAAACAAAAGATATGAGCTGAGAAGAGCAGAGATGAAATAAAACTGTAAAAACGGCCAAACCATCCTCTGCTCTCTGAGTTGAGAAGTGAGAGCTGACTATCTATAATCCATGGCTGCTACTCTCTTTCTCTCTGCTCTTCTTCCTCCATCATCAAACACCCACCATTTCCCTCACATCTCTAACCCAATTTCAAACCTCTACATTCCCACTTCACTCTCCCTCCTCTACCCCAATTCTTTTAGAAGCCGTAAATCAACCCCTCCCTCCAATTCCCTCAAATCCCTCCCATCCACCTCCACCCTCTACACCATTCAATCCCCAAACCCAGATTATTTGTTATCAGCAGAGCCAATTTTACGCTCCGATGCGGTAATTAAGATGCCCACAGCTCCGTGGATGAAGGGTCCTCTTCTTCTTCATCCTAATCAAGTCTTGGACCTCTCTAAACCAAGAAAGAAGAAGAACAACTTGACCAACAACGAAGAAGAAAATCCCGACCCGTCATTGATTGACAGAGTTAGCGGTGGAAGAAGGAAGAAGGCAATGAAGAAGATTTTCGAAGGCGTCGGGAAACTTCAAGAAACCCTTGGTTCGGAAGAGACCCAGAAAAACCCAGAAGAAATTGGATTTGATTTTTCGTTAGGAGAATTGGGGGAAGATGGGAATCCAAAGTTGGGGGAGAAAATGCCGTGGGAAAGCAATGAGAGGGTCGTGTTTAGGAGAACCAAGAAAGAGAAGGTGGTGACTGCTGCTGACGTGAGTCTTGATGGGGAGTTGCTTGGGAGATTGAGGGGTGAGGCTGCAAGGATGAGGAAGTGGGTCAAGGTTATGAAAGCTGGGGTGACTCACACTGTTATTGATCAGATTCATCAGATTTGGAAGGACAATGAACTTGCCATGGTGAAATTCGATTTGCCACTGTGTCGGAATATGGATAGGGCTCAAGAAATTGTTGAGGTATATTTTCTTTACTTTCTTTAGACCCTAAACCCATGAATTTATAATTTTCTTATTATTTGGGAGTTCACGTATAGAGACCTAGGTTCACTTGTACTGAGGGCTGCTATAAGATTGTGCATTGCATGGTGAAAGAATTGCTTTATTAATATGTCAATGCGACGCTGTTTTCTTCTTATGAAACCATGTCTGGAATAGCAACTGTTTAGAATTCCTTCTGGTAAAGTGTATGCTAACTCCTGTGGTAATAGCTTCAGGGTCAAGTGCAGCAAGAGCAAAAAGATAAAACATAAAATATACTCAACTTCACGGTCTTTTGGATGCTAAATTGTTTGTATGCTTGTAATTCTGTGCCTAGTTGTTGGAGCTACTTATTACATCAAGATTTCAAGCTTAGTATGCATTTGGAGTTAGTTTGGGCATGCCTGTTTTTCATGTTTAATTGCCTTCTCACTTCAACCATGTCTCCCATTACCCAACCCCACTGTCTCATTTATCTGGTATGCATAGATTTGTAGAGAAAACTTCAGCTGGTTCAGCAATATCTATTTCTAAGTTGCTTTTATCATCTTTGATTATTGTTTTTCTTGTTTGATTTTAAAGATTTTCTGATGGTTGCTTTCTTAATTTTAACTTGTTAATCAGATCAAGACTGGAGGCTTAGTTGTATGGTGCAAGAAAGATGCACTTGTTGTTTATAGAGGATGTAATTATCAGTTCAGATTGAGATCTTTTTCAAAGATGCATTCAGGTTTTGCTAGAGGTCAAACAACTTCTTCCTTGAATATCAGAAATCATCAAATAAAACTCAACATGACTCTTTCTCAAGTAGAATCAGATGAAAGTACTGGGGAAGAAATGAAAAGCAGAAATGATGGTGAAATGGCAAATATACCGATAAATGGTTCTTTGTACGAAAGGGAAGCTGATAGATTATTGGATGGCTTGGGACCCCGCTTCATTGATTGGTGGAGGCCAAAGCCTTTGCCTGTAGATGCAGACTTGCTTCCAGAAGTGGTTCCTAGATTCAAGCCTCCATTTAGGCTTTGCCCACCTCATGCTAGAGCAAAGCTGACCGATGATGAACTGACATACTTGAGGAAGCTTGCTCGGCCGTTACCGTTTCATTTCGTACTTGGTACTTAACTTTTTTCCCATCAGCTAATATAATGTTATCATAAATTTATATAACTTTATGCTTTTTCTTTGTGCATGACGTCAAATATGCTCTGCTGTGAACAAGTTATGAACATGTGATGGAGACAAGTGGCAGCGTAAAGTCTATAAACGGCGTGGCAATGATGCTTCTAAGGCTCAAGTTTTGATTTGGCATGTGTTGGATGATGCCGGGCCCACTTGGGAACTAGAATAAATTAATTAATTTGAGTCTTTCCTCTATATATATTTATGTTTTAGGGGCAAGGTATTTTTGTAATTGCAGAATTTCTGGAGCGGGTCTCAATAATGGGTCGTTGTGTTGATCCATGGGTCTTGGTATTGGTTTAATATGTTTATGAGTTTTATTTGACATTATAAGTTTTAGAAGTCAAAGATTTTATAGTAGTTTTAGTTTCCTATTTTGGTCCTAGTTGGTTAAGTAAGTCTTCTAGTCCTATATAAAGCACTCTATTGCTTCTAATAAAATAACAATCAAAATTTATATAATTTTCAGAGCTTTGAGCCGCTTTAGGGTTTGTGTGACGCAACCCAATCCTAGGTGTGATGATGTCTAAGGGATTTTAGGAGTGATTCCTAGTTTTCTTCTTCTTTTTTCTCTTTTCCTATTCTGTCTCTGTTCACAGATTACTACTTTCAGCCCATGAACAGTCTTTATTTTGTCACCAAATTCTGGTCTCCTTAAGCCCAAACCATTCATAACCAAATCCTAAACCACCCTTAGCATTATTTCATTAAACCCTAAGTTAGCTTAAACTTGCTTCAAACTTGTGTGCTGCATCAACATGAGTGCTCTAGTGTATACATGTTGCTGTTTAAGTTTCCCTTTTGCTAATTTTTCTTCAATTTTGTTTTGAAGGTAGAAACAGAAAACTTCAGGGCTTGGCTGCTGCTATTTTAAAACTGTGGGAAAAATGTCATACAGTGAAGATTGCTGTGAAGTTTGGAATTCCAAATACTAATAATGCACAAATGGCATATGAGCTCAAGGCAAGTTTTATAACTAGAAGCTGTACGTATTTGAGATTCATGACCTACTAGAAGCCATTTTGTTACTCATATTGGACCTGTACTTGTAAGTTATATATGTTTAAAGAGTTCCATAAAAATGTTGCTCACAAATAGGACCCTTTTTGAATAGCCTGTGTTTCTTAGATTATTACATTGTTGTAAGAAGTGTTCTGATGGGAGACTTACTAAAGTGCTTCTGTCTTACTTTTTCAGTGTCTTACAGGTGGAGTTCTGTTGTTGCGTAACAAGTTCATTATAATACTTTATAGAGGCAAGGACTTTCTTACTGACGGAGTTGCAAACCAAGTGGCGGAGAGAGAAATGGAGCTTTCAAAATGTCAAATTCAGGAAGAAGTTGCACGCTTAAAAGCAATTGAAACTTTTCACATGACCGATGAATCACATGTAAACACTAGCACAAGTGGAAGTTTATCAGAATTCAAGATTATTCAATCAGAATGTGCAAACCTGAAAAATAGATATGGGGAGGTTGACGTTCAACTACAGGCTGAAAAAGAAATACTAAAGAAGCAACTGAGAAATCAAGAACGAAAGCTTTTTATTGTAAGATTGAAGCTATTTTCGTCATTTTGCATTCCACTATTGAGAAATTTGTTATGCATTTATATGGCTTTGTGCAGCTTAAAGTGAAGATACGGAAGTCAACAATGGAGTTATCAAAACTAAATTCTGCATGGAGGCCTTCTGAGCAGGATGCAGACCAGGAAATGTTAACACAAGAGGAGAGAGAATGCTTTAGGAAAATGGGATTGAAGATGGACAGCAATTTAGTTCTGGGTAAGCAAGATATTGTATTTCACTCTATGGATGAATCAAATCCCACCAACTCAAAATGAGTTTCGTTTTTTAGTATCAGAATTATTTGTTTGCAAGGATATTTCTCTGGAAATTTTTGTTTGCCTTAGAATTGTTTTCATATTTCCATTTTTATGTGTATTTATTTGTATGTCTGAAAATGTTTAACGTACTGTGTCTGCAGGAAGGCGTGGGGTGTTTGATGGTGTAATAGAAGGTTTGCATCAGCACTGGAAGCACAGAGAAATTGCCAAGGTGATTACAATGCAGAGATTATATTCGCAGGTCCTTTATACTGCAAAACATCTTGAAGTAGAAAGTGGTGGAATACTAGTTTCAGTAGACAAGCTGAAAGAAGGCCATGCTATTATTATTTACCGAGGGAAAAACTATAGACGGCCTTTAAATTTGGTGCCTCCAAATCTTCTGAGCAAAAGAGAAGCACTACACAGGTCTCTCGAAATGCAGAGGATTGGAGTAAGTAAAGCTCATTCTTGTTTTCTTATGACATATATTATCTTTTGGTTACTGGGACTTGATTGTTCTTACTTTTTCTTTCTGTCTCAGTCATTGAAGTTTTTTGCATATAAGAGACAGCAGGAAATCTGTGACTTGAAATGTAAGCTGGTAAGAGCTGAACCTTTCTTCGATAAATAATTTTAAATTTTATTTTGTATCTTTCTGAAAAAGTGAACACTGAGATACTGATTATTTATATTAGACATACCAGATATGATTTCTCCTTGGCTCATTCATTAGCTGTAAAAATTTGCAGGCAGATTTAGAAAAGAGATGGGAAATTGATAAAAGAGAATCTGACAAGGTCACATGGAATGGACTCAAAGAACCAACTTGCCATGGAATCTCTTGAATTTGTCTCTTTCTAGAGAGGAAACAACACAGATATGATAAATCCATATCTAAATATTGTGGTTTGATAAATCCATTTGAAATGTTTACCTTTTACAATTTCAATATCTTTTTAACTTTTTCATAAACCATGGGTCCCCAAACGAAAGACATTACTGTATAATACAAAGTTCTCTATCTGAATTGGCAACTGCCTCCTCTCTTTCTCTCTTCATCTCATTATTCATTACAAAATTCAATGGGTAAATTCTACTTTGCACCCCTACACTTTATACAAAATCTCACTTTGGTCTCTACACATCAAATTGTGACACTTAACCCCCCTGCACTTTTGGTCAAGTGTCACATTGTCCTTCTATTACTCCACTGTTTGACTGTTTAACAGAAGTTAGTCACATGATATGCATGTGATCACTAAATTGGGGAAGGGGGAAATTGACCATATGTCCCGGCAATACACCATGTGATTGTTCCAAAATTTATATCAATTTAGGGCTTAAACCAAAATTCAGATGGTGAACTGTTAGGGTTTTGCAAAAAGTGAGTCACGAGTTGAAGAGAATGGAAGACAGAGGTGCGCATTCATTAGGTAAAGCATAACCTGGCAATATTTTATAACAATTGATTGTGGTTTGTTTGTGTGTGTGGGTTTTTACAATAATTTCTTGATTTATCATTTTTTTTTTTTTGGTTTGGTTTTGGGTGTGGGTTTCCAGAACAATTTCTTGGATCAAATGTAACTTTTGTTTGATTTTTTTATTTACTACTTTTTTGGTTGAAGAAAAATGTGGTCCCGAGTGTGTTGGCTAGTCTTTGTCTGCTTGTATTAACACTTGTATTGTGTTTGGTTCATGGATTTGTATAGGAATTTGGAAAGGAAAAGGAAAAAGTATGTGAAAAGGTGTTTGAAATGTAACTACATTTCAAACACCTTTTCTCTTTCCGTTTCCAAATCCCTACCCAAATCCATGAACCAAACACACTTTTAGTTCACAATGGAGATTTGTGGATGTTGTGGTCCCTTAACTCATTTGTTTATGAATTGTTTAACTAAAATGGTTGAAGAAAATTTGTTCATGGCTTTGTGGTCTCTAAACTGTTTTCTACAGGGGATGGTTATTGTTTTACTGTTGAGATTCACCATGGGGGTGACTTTGTTTACTCTCCAAGAAAGATGTACATTGGTGGAAACATTACTTTAGTTGAAAATTGTGATCCTGCTAAATTTTCTCTACTTGACTTTAATCATGATGTGAAGAAATTTGGGTATGATGGTTTAATTATTTACTTCTACAGAATCCATGGGATGGACTTAGATAATGTTTTAAGGTTGGTAGCAACTGATGCTAATTTGGTTGAAATGATTGCTCAAATGCCTCCTAGTAGAGTCATTAAAGTGTACTTAGAAAATGTTCCAGTAAGTAATTAGTCAAATTGAAAGTGATCAAATAGAGGAATTAATTGCTGATAATGTTGATGTTTCTGTAGACAAGTGCAGATAAGAGTCATGATGTTCAGGTTGAAAATGATGGTGATGACAGTGAGGTTGAAAATGATAGTGTAGATGACAGTGAGGATGTAGACTTCTATGATAGTGATTATGGCATGAGTGATGATGATGTATTGTTTGAAAACAATGTTGACAAAGGTGTTGAGTGGGTTGGGAGCGGTAGAGGGAACACTAATAACCAAGCAGATGAGTATACATATGGGTTTTCAAGCATTGAACTAGAGGGTGTAGAGCTTGAGCAAGATGGTGGATCATCTGATGAGCTCCAAAGCATTTATGACTCCAGTGATGAGGATAGAAGAGGTCGAAAGTATCCAGAGTTTAATCCTGACACTTAATGACCAATGTTGAATTTAAAGTGGGCATGTTATTTGGTTCAGCAACAGAATTTAGAGCTGCAGTGAGAGAGTATGCAATAAAGAATGGTAAGAATGTAAAGTTTGTCAGGAATGAGAAAACAAGGGTGAGGGCAGTGTGTAGGGAGGGATGTAGATGGATGATATTTGCTTTTAATATGCAGAACCAGAACATTTTGCAAGTGAAGACATATAGGAAAGAATATAATTGTGGAAGGGTGTTTCAGAACAGGCATGTGAACTCTAGGTGGCTGTCAAAAAAGTATGGATAGCATTAGGAGAAACCCTAAACTCCCCCAATTGAATCTTTTCAAGCACAAGTTCAGGAGGATTATGTGGTTGGAGCATCTAGGAGTCGTTTATACAAGGCCAAGAGAAAGGCTTTAACCATCATATACTAACAATGAGCAATATAATCAACTTTGGGGTTACTGTAAAGAGTCAGATCCTGACACAACCATTATCATGAAGTTAACTCCTCCTGAACACCCTGAGGACCCTACTAATCAACCTACCTTTGAGAGATTGTACATTTGCCTTGGAGCTTGCAAGAGGGGTTTTGTAACAGGGTGTAGGTCGCTCATTGGTCTAGGTGGATGCCATTTGAAAGCTGGACAAGCTGGACAAACTGGACAGTTACTATGTGCAGTAGGAATTGATGCCAATAACCAAATGTTCCCAGTAGCATACGCAGTGGTGGAGGGTGAGACAAAGAGCTCTTGGTTGTGGTTCATTCAATTGCTCATAGAAGACATTGGCATAGAGAATCAACATGGATGGACATTTATTACATGCAAACAAAAGGTAAGTAATGTGTCATTAATTTAATATATTGTTATTGTTTGTATTTGATAATTGATTGTGCTAATTGCAGGGTTTGATTCCTGCACTGGAGGAGCTTGTGCCACATGCTGAACACAGAAACAGAAATCAGTTCAAAGGAAAGGCAGGCCTCGTTAGGCAAGTTAACATTTTAGCCAAAAAGTCAAAAAGTTGCCAAAAAAGCCAAAAAGCCTATAACCTATACCAAAAAGTCAAAGATTCCATTTTCTCTCTACATTTTGCACATCTTTTTGTAAAAAGTCAAAAAGTCACTCCAAACATACTAGTTTTTTTTAAACTCATATTTTAGCCAAAAAGCAAAAAAGTTACTAAAATAGTCTGTTCCCAAACAAGGACAAGTTGTGGAGTGCTTCTACGTCAACCACTGTCCACAAACATGAAGAAGGGGTGGACCAAATCAAGGGAGTCGACAACGAGGCATTCAAGTGGTTGGCAGAAAAACCCCCTAGGCACTGGTCCAGGTCACACTTTAGAACCTTCCCAAAGTGTGACATACTCTTGAACATTATGTGTGAGTCATTCAACAAGTTTATTTTAGAGACCAGAGACAAGCCAATCATAACAATGCTTGACAGGATAAGGTGTTTGTTGATGAGAAGAATGCAAGTGAGGGACTTAATGAGGCAACATGAGGGTAAATTATGTCCAAAAATACAAAAAAAGCTGGAGCAATTGAAAATTGAATCAGGGGGTTGTTTTCCTATGTGGTCAGGAGGGCCTAAGTTCCAAGTTAATTGTTCAAATGTTGATCAGTGGGTAGTGGCCTGGATGAACTTGCTCATGCAGAAGGTGGGATTTAAAGGGTATACCTTGTGCTCATGGTGTGCCTTCTATCTGGAACAAGGGTGAGACACCTGAAGATCATGTGAATGAATGTTACTGGACAGAGAACAATTTAAAGATTTATGAAAATATGATACAACCTCTAAATGTTCCTAAATTGTGGTCCAAGACTGGATTAGTACCCCCATTTCCTCCTGTTTATCATAAGCCTCCAGGAAGGCCCCCAACTTGTAGAAGGAAGGGACCAGATGAACCTGCCGATCCTACCAAAGTCATGGGGCCATAACTATAGGAGCTGCAAGAATCTACCAAACAGGGAGTACCAACTTAAAAACAAACCAAGGTGGAAGAGCTTATGCGATATAAGGAAAAAGGGTGAGTCCATACTTTGTTGTTAATGTTTTAAATAAATACAACTAAATATATGTTTGATTGGACCAAATATTTTTTGCCTCTACTTAGCTGGATCAACATCATCCCAAGCATCAGCACCAATGGCAACCCAAACACGAACACCAATGGCAACACCAAATCCAGCTTTGTCCATTCCAATCGCAGCTTCAGCAATTCCAAGGGCACCAAATCCATCTACATCAAGGGCAAGTTCACAAGCACAAAGGGAAACTTCTGCAGCAATGGCAACTTCAACATTGAGTGCAACAATAGCAGCAAGAACCATGGCAGCAGCAAGAACCATGGCAACAGCAACAAGGGGGGCAAGAGCAACACCAACAGAAACAAGTGCAATAACAACAAAGGCGACATCATCACAAACATCTGAAGCATATCAAGGGGAGCAACATCAACACCAACACCAGCCTCATTTACATGGAGAAGGAGGAATGTTGTGACCTTGTCCTCACTTCAGAATGCATCTGCCTCTAAGGTGAACAACCCAAAGTAAGGGTGTTGTTTATTTTGATTATCAAACTCTTTTGACAATGTGGCATGTTTTGTCTATGTAGTTATGGATACTGCCAGCATGTTTGCATCATGAATGTGGCCATTTTGACTAGATGGATACCAACAATATATTTTATAAAATGAATTATTACCATTTGTGTGTTCATGTGGATATTGGCTTCATTTGCGGCAATGTAGCTATTGGCACATATTAGATTTTTGTGGCCCTTTTTTTTTTTTTTTTTTTTCTGTCTTGCATTACACTTTCCTGATGCCCTTATTTTCACAAGTAGTTTTGGATAAATTACACTTTAACCTTGTTTTGACAAGTTTTTGGCCTTATTTTGTGATAACAAGTTTTCCCTTTTGCTGTCATTTAGTGGTAATATGTTTGTCATGTGACTAACTTCTGTTAAAGAGTCAAACAGTTTAATAAGAGAAGGGCTAATGTGATATTTGACCAAAAATGTTGGGAGCTAAGTGTTACAATTTGATATTTAGGGATAAAAGTAAGATTTTGTGCAAGTATAAGAGTGCAAAAATGTAGTTTCTGCAAATTCAATTTACCCCATCTAACGATTGGTTTGGAACATTGCATATTTTATAAATAACATTGACAAACAATTGCAAATATACTTTCATTTCGATCCTGCAAATTCAATTTACCTCATCTAACAATTGGTTTGGAACATTGCATAATTTTATAAATAACATCGATAAACAATTGCAAATATACTTTCATTTCGATCGGTAGACGGCGATGTTTTGCTGGTGTGTGAGCAACTTGTCCAGGTCATGACGTGCCTCCTGTTGGTCTCACCACACCACTCAAGTATGAAATTTTAGCATTATTAATATGATTTTTCATATTGGATTTTTTTGAGTAAAATATAAAAGGATGAATTATAAACGAGGAATTTAATTACACGAGGGTGTGGGACTTGGGAAAAAAATATTTAAAAAATATAAATTATGTTTATTTGACATAACTTATATAAGTGTACTTATCTAAATATAGATTATGTTTGTTTGACATAACTTATATAAGTGCAGTTATTAGATAAATGCATTTATTTAGGTTATATCATCTCTTTATTTTTTTACATATCTTTTCGTAAAAATCTAAAAAGTATACTTATTTAAATTATTCCAAATACCCAGTTTGATTTTAAACTTGTTTTGAAAAAAATTAACAAATTAAAAATTAATTTAGTTAAAGAAATAAGTATTTTAAAAATAATAATTATTTTTATATAATTTTATCTTTTAAGAGTTTGGAAATAAGTTTTAAAAATTTAAAATTATATTCTTAATATTTATTTTTATCAAATTAATTTTTTTTTATTTAAAAAAAAAAATTCAAACATAGTCATAATTTTTTTTTTTCTCTTTCCTCTTTCTTCTCCATTTTCCCTCTTTTTCACCCAACTTTTCAACCCAATACTACCGACTTCTCTATTGGTCATCACTAGTGCCATCCTCACCTATCCACAAAAGACCTTTTCCACCACCAGCAGTAGCCCTTTCTCTACTCCCTCATAACTATAACGTCAACCATTGGTGTGGCAATCTCAACATGCATATTATAATTATATTTATTTAATTGTGTGTGAATTTGAAGTTGTCATATGTGCTTTGTGATTAATTAGTGCATATCTGTTTGATTCGAAAATTATTTGTTGTAATTTTTGTTCTAAATTTGAAATTGAAACCTTAAATGATTTCAGAAATCAAAATTGACAAGATGAATAGATTAATTAGAATATTTAGAACCATTTGAAAAGTTTAATTAAAATTTGGTTCAGTAAAATTAAGCTTTATTGAATTTGTTCTAAGTCTTGATTAATTAGCCAGGTGACCTAATTAGCATTTAAGCTAATCATATGATATATATATATATATATATGAACTTTGAGAGGCTTTGAGCTCATTTTTGAGTTCATTTTGCTGGAGAGACCTTAAGAAAAAGAAGAGAGCTCTCATCTAGAAAGAGGGAAAGCATTGTTGAAGAAGATCTTGAGGATTTTGTAGAGAAGCTCAAGTTTTGCAAGAATTTAGCTAATTCAAGGCTCTAGGTAAGAATTTGACTCTTAATTCTTAAAGATAATCCATCTTAGAGTTATGTTCATGGAGTAATAAGGATAATTTGTATGTGTTTTGCAAAAGATTGTTAAAAAGATGAAGAAAATTGAAATAGCTCTACATGCATGCATGATTTTTTCATGTTTTACCATTTTTCAGTTTGAATTCTATTATCCATGTTGAATTAGAAGCTAATTTGTACATGCATCATTGATTTTCAAAGCTTCAAGGGTTTTACTACATGAATTTGAGAGTCAAATGCATATTTTGAAGAGTACAAGTGAAAAAGAGTTTGAAAATCTTAAAGAACAAGCCATGCATGAATTTTGCTTTTGAATTGGTGTTTGGAAGCTCAATCTTTCAGTTTTGAAATTCAGAATTTTTGCAGAGCGCTCGAATGACCAAGTGGTGGCTCGAGCGAATATTACGAGCTTCCAGCATTTTTGCAGAACATCACAAACCACTTGAGCAATCTGGGATGGCTCGAGCGCACATTTTGATCATTCAGTATTTTTGCAGTCTTTGCAAACTGCTCGAGCAACCAACTCTATTTCAGCATATTTTTGAAAGTTGTTTTGTGATCATATCTTCGTTCACATCTTCTTCTGAGCATACCTAGGCATGACTTATGATTCAAAGGGAACTAATAAGTAAGAAGACAATGTGAGTAATAGAATTAGAAAAGAGAAGAAAGAGTTATTTGATTTGAACAATGTGATTCCATATGTGTATGGTTATGTGAATGTATAGGCTGGAATGTTGAGGAGGAACATTGAACTAGTTAAGGTGAGTAATGTCTTTGTAAAGATATTTTTGTATAAGCTACTTTGAAATTGGCTTTGTTATACAATGGTTTATGCAATCTATATTTTGATTACAAGATATTCGATAAGACAAGTCTTTTCTAAAATGATAAGATATGTTATGAATCTATGATTGTTCATGATATGATAAATTTTCCGAGTAAGTGCTTTTGAGACGCTAAGTCATGCCATGAAATTCTGAAATGAATGCGATATGATGAGCTTTTCAAAAATGAGATTTGGCTAAGAATGAATGAGTTTCTTTTTGAAACAACAACTATTGTAATAACTTGGGAAATGTATTTTGATCTTTAATGACTTCCGTTTTGTTTTCGACTCGTCATGTATGTACTTTTCGTATAAGTTATTGATTCACTGTAAATGTTTTGTATGATGTGGATCTTTAATGATCATTCCACATGACTTCAATTGTAATCATTCCTGTTTGATATCTACCCGTTATGTCATGACCCGAACCCGCTCCCATAGATTAAGGTCATAACTGACCAGTGATTATGAGATTACCTATGGCCTCAAACCTGATATCAATTAATAATTAATAATATGGGGCCAGATGCGGAAGCAAACTTAAAAATTTTGTTCAATGAGCTATGCTTACATGGCATACCAAAACATTTCACATATACTTAATAATAACTCACACCACATATCAGTAGTTAACATTTTGTATACCCAGGATCATTCAAACACATAGTCAGCTAAACCAAAAGCTTATACACATAGCGGTCTATCATGACCAATAGAAATAGCAAAAGAAATACAAAAGATCATAAACAAAGCTTCTTGAGGCACCTGGGCTGACTTCACAAAACTCGGGTTCCTTTCTTAAATTCCACTAAGGTTGTGGTTGAACGTCCTTTTGCTCACCTACATACATATAAATAAGAGTGAGCTAACGCCCAGTGAATAATATCAAAATAAAGAGGTTAATGAATGAAATTTGTTCACAATAAGTCATACTTATAATGTACACATTTGAACCACTTTTCTCATTCACATCAGATTTACAAATCTCAACATATGCAAAACGACCTCGGGTCCAACACATCATATCTATATACAAAATGATCTCTGGTCCAATTCTTATATAAAATAAAACGACCTTGGGTCCATCTATGCAAAACGACCTTTGGTTCCACTGACTCTTTATTCAAAACGACCTTTGGTCCAACTCAAACATATCAAACGGCCTCGGGCCCAATTCAAACATATCAGGCGTATCAAACGGCCTCGGGCCCATTCTCTTTATATTCATATCTATGCGTATTCCATATTCATGATCATGATCCCTTTTCATTCAAACGACCTTTGGCCCATTACGCTCATGTTCAAACGGCCTTTGGCCCATCACGGTATTCAAACGGCCTTTGGGCCATCATCATTATATTCAAACGGCCTTTGGTCCATCTTTATATTCAAACATATCAAATGGCAAACGGCCTTAGGCCCAATTCGGACATATCAAACGTATCAAACGGCCTTATACAAAATTAGGCATATAGAATACTCATTCATATTTCAAATTAACAAATCTATGAAGCTTATACAGAAGTAGCATTTGGAAAGTAACATATTTGAAAATATCTTTACTAAGATATTACTCACAGTGTTTCGCCGATGGATTTGCCCTTGTGCTTGACCCTACACATTTCATATTACAATGGGTCATAAGCGATTTAATCCGTTCTTAACTTATTATTTCTCTTAGGCTTCTTTCTTATCCCTTTAGGTTATATATAAAGCTCAATGCATGCCTAAGAGTGCTTAGAAATGAAAGAGAACGGAAAATGAAACACAAAACATCTTTTCAAAATTTTCAAAGCAGGGCTCCCTGCTCGAGCGGACGCCTTTGGTCTGCAAAAGTACTGGTTACTTCATTTTTACGCTCGAGCGTGACTTCGGACGCTTGAGCTAAGAGCCAAAGTGTGTGTTTGGGCGCTCGAGCGTAACTTTTCCCCGCTCGAGCGGACATCATGTCTGCAAAACTTCTGGGAACTAACATTTCACGCTCGAGCGGCATTTTCCCCGCTCGAGCGGACATGCCAAATTTTGGAATTTCCAGAATTGTTCTTGAAGCTCAAACTTAGCATTCAAAGGTTCAAAGTTCGTGTTTTTGGTACAAAATCATGGAAAAACATTACATAGAATGAAAATATAGGTTATTTAAAACCAGTTGTCCAAAACCATAATCTAATTCTCAAATTAATCAACATTTCTCTTGGTATGGTCACAGCTCATGCATTCAAACTTTATACAAG